TGCTTAGCTCCTTAGCTTCTCTCTGCCCTCCTTCCCCCAACTTGGAGAAACATTAACAAAAAGCAAATGAAGTTATGCAGGTTTCAGTTATAAATCAACCAGGCCACAAGGCCACTTACAGCAAACAAGCCCCAAGTTGGCCCCGCCGACACTTTCTCAGATTCCGGGTGACCAGGCGTGGGGCTCTGGACCTCTGGATGAAGACAAGGCAATCTCTGTAGCTCCAGGGCGAGGTCACTTTCTCTGTCCAAACTCCCCCAGTCTCCTTGGAATTTCCCAAAGCAGAACAAAATGCAGGATCTGGAAGGGGAAGGACTGGGGAAACACCCGATGCTCATGATTGGAATGAATCTGAGCCGGCCCTGGTGACTTTAGGAATCCATTCCCCTTCTCCCTTAGAGTTAACTTAGGATGAATTCTTTTCATTTTTATTGGTTCCCTCTGGATACCAGCGTAATGCATTTCCGAAACCTCAGTTGTATATACGGAGAGTGTTTGAATCCAAGCAGATATGGAGCCACGCTTTTCTAGGAATATTCAGGTTAACAGATTTAAGTACAGAAGGGTGAATGGAGGCAAAAGCTTCCTCCACATAAGAGTTCCATTTCCCTCCCAGGCGGGTTCAGCAGCTCGGCCAAGCACATTTATGGGATCTCTAATTGGAAACTAATCTCCTCCTCCGTTTGATAGGCGTCCACGTCAGAGGCATGTCACCCCACCCCACCCGGGACACAACACTCTAGCGGCGCGAGAGTTGCTGGGCTGCATCTCTAATGGGGAAGAAGCGATTATTACATTGAGGAAAAAATATTGATTTTTTTCTTGCATCTAATTCCGTGAGACTTCCCTCCGTTGCCCTTCTCATAGTAGCCCACTGTAGCTAATTTTGTTAGGAAACGCATAGCATATTACAGCAAAGCTGAAAAGAGGGAGTTGGATATATATGGGGAGAAGGAGAGGTAAACATTTGGGGCAAATCTTCCAGTTGCCCTAGGGGCCCAGTGGCCTTTCTCCCCCAGTTGCTAATCAAACCGAGACCTCTTTCAGGTCCATATTGGATCCCAGCCCCATCTCTTACTCCAGCCAGGAACTCAAATGGGGTGCTTTTTGGTCTTTACATTGGTAGTGTGCTCCCTTAAGCCGCACACATACTAAAAACCACATTCATTGTAACATTTTCCTTGCTTGAAAATATAAATCTGCTGGAGGTGTCTCCTTTTTGCCTTAAAGAAACACGATTGGGGGGAGTAAAATGAAGAAAAATGCTAGCAGTCCAATTAAAGACTCATTCTAGTCATCCGATTCAATAATTTTTTAAGACTTCTGAAGTCATGGAGAAAAGTCACCCCCAACTACTTCTCTACCATCCCTACAAAAGTTCTTTTAAAATAGAAGTTCAATCATAGTTTCAAAATATTGCTGTATTTCACAACCCTTTACAGAGTAGCCCTAAGGCTATTGAAAGATTGCACACCTCATGCTAAGGTTTACACTTTAATTCCATCCAGGTCATGATCTTGGTTGTCCTCTGTTCCTATTCATTTACTCACTAGCCATCACTACATCACTACTAAAATTGTTTTGTGGCCAACCCATCCTATCCCAGTCTCCAGGTTCCCACAGTTATCTTATAGCCTTTTCCCTCTAGGATTTTTTTTTTGGTCATATAAAAGGGAGGGGAGGGGATAAGAGAAAACTCCCTTCCAGTCTATTTTTACTTGTTTTAAATAAATACAAATGTATTTATTTTAGGGGCAGCAGGTTGCCTCCATTTCTATTGCCTCAGTAGTTCTGCTTCTGGGGGGGGAGGGGAACAATCTATTAAGTTTTTAATGGAAGAGTAGGAAAAATCAGACTGTAGAGAGAGTGAGTAGGAGAGAGTAGGAGAGAGAGGAGGAAGAAGAGAATTAAAGAGAGAAATTGGAGAAAGAGGGGGCAACTGCTGATTAAACTGTGAAGTAAGACTGGACATGGGAGAGAAGAGTTCTGTAACCATTTTCATTCTGAGAAAATGTGACAGGTCAGTACCTTGATATACTATCTATGTAACCAACTAATGCTCCCCCTTTCTGCCAGATTTCTAGCTAGATATTGGATTAGGGAGAAGACTTCAAAAAATCTCTAGAAACCCATTCCCTCTGGAAGGCCCTTTTAGTCCTACTTCAATTCCTGCCTTGAATTAGAGGCCAAGGGAGATCAACTCATTCTTTCCCTTTAGGGCAAGCCATCACAGTCACATACATTGGTTCTCGTTTCAGTACCAGGCTACTATATAGGTCATTTGGTCAACTGATGGGAGAGTATAAATTGGAAAGGTTATACTTAGGGTTCAATCTCTGGTGATCTCCTAGGCCTTAGGAGCGAAGAGAGGGAGAGGAGATCTCATTGATTCCTGTCAACCTGGCCTTTCACAAATGCTTAGGATAAAACTGGAGCTGCTATGGTGTGCTCTTCAGAAAGACAAAACCTTGTTTCCATTGTTAGTTCAGGGCCCCCACTGTGCTTGCATCTGAGTGTAGTGAAAGGGCTCCCACCCTCGAGGTTAATGATCCAACCATTCCTCACCACCTCAACTCCTTCCCAGTGTACATCCAATTGCCCACCCTCACTCCTCTAATGTCTGGGCTTGTCAGGCCTCCCAGACTTCCCTTCATCTCTTATGACAAGAGCTGAAGACAGTCAATGTCATTATCTCCTCCCAAATTAACAGGAAGCCCAAAATTATGAGATTGGGGAATAGACCCAGGTACCTGATGGAGTCCAGAACTAGCAAGAGGACACTTCTTTCCTAAGGAAAAGAGGAATTAGTTTCCAGAGTTAGGAAGGAGTAGGAGGCTGCATGCCCCTTCTAAGTCTCTCATGCTAGAACCTGGGTCTAACTCAACAGCCTCAAGGCAGTGGGTGTGTGTGTCTGTGGAACAGGCTTCTTGGTGATCAAAAGTCCTGTTCTTCCCCCCCTCCCCATTAGGGTAAGAGAGGAGTAAGACAAACATACCTCCCTCGAGGAAAACATTGTCTTCCCTATAGGGGACATGGGGACAGATAACAGTCTATGGTTGAGTGGTCTCTTCCCTCAACCTCTTCCTATTTCCAGAATGAGCCAGAGGGGAAGTTTGAGTAGTGAATGTGAGGAAGGTGTCATTTAAGTGGTGCTGAAAAGAAAATGAAGCAGATAGAAATAGAGGGGCCAGTGAGTACAGTCAATGGAATATAGGAGACCAGGGATGGGGTTCCGGGGTTAGTAGGATTAGAACAGTGTGGTCAAGCCAGAGGAAGATTCAAGAGAAGGAAAATTAAAAGCAAATAGATGTCGCAGTTGGGTTTCAGCCTTGCCTGCACCTGGCCTGTCTCTCTCTTCTCATTGGAAGGGGATGGAGTTAGGGGGACGACCCCACAGGATGGGAGGGAGGGAGTTAGGGGAGCTCTGGCCTTCTCCTCTTTGATTTTAGCCTGTGAAACGGCTCAGTGCCCCCGGCTCTGGCTCGGATTGACTGTCTCTCGTTCTCCTGGGACGAATTAATGGAGAACGATCAGTTAATTAACAAACCCTCATTCAGGCCTTTACCATTCTATTCAAGCCACTCACTCAGCCTGGGAGCAGGGTCTGAGGTGTGGAGGCCGAAGGGGGCGGGAGGATTAAATTAACCTAACTGCAGTCACAGTTCGGCCTCTGATCCCTGAAAAAAAAAAACCAATCAGTTCCATTTCTTCCCTTGGCTACAGCCAGCACCTGGACCCCCTATTTTCCTCACTTCTCTGCCTCGCATCTCCTTAGGTTTTTTTTTTTTTGGTAAATGTCACAAATTCCTCCCATCCTGTGACAACTAGATTCTAGCCTTAACTGTACCATAAAATCGTAAGAATAGCCAGACAGATAACGCTCTTTCCCTAATTCCACCACTGCGGAAATAACAATACCAGCCGGCCACAGACTGAAACTGCCAGGACACAGAAGCTGGTAACCAGTGCGGATCCATCACTCTTCTGCTTCTTTTTTACTTCAGCTCGGAGCTGAAAGCTAATGGAGGGGCTTCCTTCCTACCACACTTGGGATTCTCAGACCCTCCCCCAGACTTTGGGGTTAGTTTTTCAAAGACGCAGCAGAATAAAATGAAATGAAAAGTCCTTAGCATGCAGGCACCTAAGGAAACTCAGCTTAGCTGGGCACAAGCTTGTTTCCCCTCCCTCTTCTTTTCCTTCTCTCTTTCCCCTCCCCAAACTCCTTATTCTACGAAAACATTCAACTCCTCAATAACTGGGTTAGTTTAGAACCAAGGAAGATAGAAAGAGAAAGATGAAACATACACGAACACTCACTTGACACAGACACGTTGCCACCTAGCATAGCTACTTACATAGGATAGGACATCGGCGGTTGTAAATTATGAAACACTTTAGTCTGATGAAGTAGAATCCCAAGCAGGACCCGATTCCCCTACGTAAATGAGTGTAAGTTCGAGACAGTAAAGACTTGAAGTCTTTGCGCATCTCACCCAGAGCACCTGGTATGTTCTGTTCCATTCCCAGAACCCTAGCTTCTTGTACTGGACTGGAGCCCAGAGCATTGGATTGTGAGTCCCGTGTGAACAATACGAATACACATTTACAATAATACTCACCCGTGTACGCGCGTGCACACAACACGAGACTAAGCTGTGGGTAGACCGGGCAGCTAAAGATTCTGGCAGGTATCGCAGGTTTTCTCGAGCCGCTGCCAGAGCCGCTTTCAGCCCTGTTTCCCTACGCAATCCCCAGAAGCCGGAACCCCACTGGCACCTGTGCTTGGGACTGCCTGGTTTGGCTCCCGCGGAAAGACAGAAAGGGGCACAGAGAAAGGGAAGGAAAGCAGCTCGACCTGAGAGACAGTGTACCGAGCGTATTTTCATGCCTGAATTGACTTGTCTAGGTGGAGGCGCAACTAACTCTACCAGGTCAAATTTGGTATCCTCTATCCTGATCCCCCCAGCATCCTAACTAGCTCCTCTGCCCTGCTGGCTCACCTGCTAACCGGAGCGCTGACATTCGCTGGAATTCCGGCTCCTGTAACCACTTCCACATTCTCCGGAAGGTCTCTCGGCCGGATTTCAGTTTGCTCCAGGGTTTAGGGTTGCGCAGCAGGTCTGAGAGGGTCCCTTGCGAGCGGCACAGCACCCTTTGAGCGAAGATGGCCTGAGGGATGCTGTACCGCTTGAGCTCGGTGGTGATCCGCTGCGCCACTTCTTTGGTATTGATTTCTTCCATTTGCCCTGAATTACTTCCATTACTGACCTGGGAGCCGGTCACCGAGGGGTTTGGTTCCCGGGCGGTGCCCAGGATTTGCCCGTGACCCTGGGCATTTAAGTGGGCATGGGGGTGGTGCGGGAGGCCGTTGATGGGTACCATGCCTGCGGAGGTGGGGGTGAGATGCTGTTCCCCGTGCCGGGCTAGCATGGCGGGGTGGTGGGCTTCGAAGCCGTTGGGGGTGAGCATCTTTTCAGCGGGCATGGTGGCGCTTGGGTGGGCATAATGGGGCAGTCCTTGCTGGGAGTTGTGGATGCCCCCCAAACCAGAACCGGAGAGGGGCGAAAGGCTCTGGCCCATGCCGGGTACGTCCTTGTGGTAGGGGGTGTAGAGGTTATTCATGGATGCTAGTCCCCGCTCGTCCCGCATGAGAGTGAAGCTACCGCTCACATTGCCGGCGATCCGCTGGTGGTGATGAGGGTGGTGGTGGTGGTGGTGGTGGTGATGGTGGTGTGGGAACTTGTCCGAGACGGTCGAGATGGGAGGTAGAGGCTGCAAAGGGGTTAACGTGGTATAAGTGCTGGTCATGCTCATACCTGGAGGGGTCTCGCACGCCATGGTCATGGTAGGGTGCAGGGGCCCCGCCAGGGCGTGTTCGGGGGGTCGGTGGTGGTGGTGGTAGTCCCCGCCGCTGTCCAGGATGGACGCCATGCCCATGGAGCGGGGGTGAGCGGGCAAGTGGCTGCTGCGATGGGCTACAGTGCTGCGGTGGTGGGGGCTGCTGCTCATCAGGTCGGCTGTGGCGGGCACCGGCTCATGGCTCACCCCGTGAAGATCGCCAATCGCCTCCATCGTCAGCTGTGCGTTCATTGTGATTCGTGCGACCCGGCGGACAAAACATCTATCTGGCCGGGCAATGAGAACGGTGTAGGAAGTCTTCACATCTGGTGGATGCGGGTTGTTTCGTTGTGTTTGTCTCTCCCTCCTTCTCTCTCGCCCCCACCTCCCTTTCTCGTTCTTTGCTTTCTTAAAAATTAATTTAAAAATGTTTGAGCTGCTTTGGAAACACTGTCCCTCCACCCACTGTTTCCTTCTCTCTTCCCTTTCCTCTTTATAATTATAAGACCCCCGGTTCCTTTAAAATTGCCCCCGCAGCAGCCGTGGTTGGTGTCTGGCTGCGTCCCTCGCCATCTCTAGCCATGTCTCTTTTACTGTTTCAGAGTCTCTGGCCGCCGCTCCGCTGCTGCTATCGGAGGAGAGCTCGCATGCGCACTGGCACGGCCCCCACCCCCACCCCCATTCCGGGCCCGGCCAGTGACGTCCCCATACATATTAAGGAAGGGGCCAGGCGCCTTCCTATCGGAGTCCGGCTGGGGAGTCGCGAGCACATGCAAAAAAGCGAGGAGGGAAAGCGCGAGAGAAGCCTGGAGCTGCAGCTGCAGCTGGAGATGCGCGTCCTGCTCTATTTTGTTGGATGGGCTCAGGCCCGCAGTCTGGCTTTAAAGGATTTCTCCTCCCAGCTCCTGGAAGGGGAGGCCGGAACAGGCCGCCAACCTTTCTGCTCCACTGTTGGGGCCGTGGGGCCGTGTCATCCCCGCCCCCCCACTTACCAACAGGAGCCTCGGGGCCTTAGGCTGTAAGGGAGGAGGGGGCGGGGCTGTCAAAGAACTAGGGGGTGGTGGTGGTGGTGGTGGTGGTGGTGGTGGTGGTGGAGTGGAGCTGTGTGGAGAGGGTAGATAGGAGAGCTGATCCTAAAATCTTCCAGATTTTTTTTCTTGACCCTGGGTTGGAGTGGGGTGCTGTGTGGAAGGAAGGGAGGAAGGGAGGAAGGGTAGCGGGTGGTTTCAGCTTCCTCTTACCTCTATCAAGGACTTCTGGCAACTCTCTTTTTCTCCCCCACCCCACCCCCATCTCAGCCCTAAGAGGGAAGGGTGTAAGGGAAGTGGGACAAAGTTTTCCTGGCCTTGATAGGACAGTGCCAGGACTGGCTTGAGGGCTGGCTCTATTACCCTCAGGGCCGGGCCCTGGGGGCGGGGCTCAGGTGCCTGGGGTCGGGGGAGGGGGCGTCTTTACGCACCTAGTTCTTCCTAACTGTCTTGTTTCTTCCAACCTTTCTCAGTAATCAACATTGCAGCCAGCCGGGTGTCTCCTTCCTTTCCAATGACTTGGCATTTTCGGGGGGTGGGTGGGGTAAAGAGGGTGTTGGTTTCCCACCGCCGGCAAATTTTCATTTTAACTTCCGGGTTCTGGCGGGGCAACCGAGCCGTCAGCTACCCGGGCGGAGGGCCCACTTAGTCCCCTTGGCGGTTGTCCAGTTCCCCCTGCCCGCTGGGGTAGCCTACGTCCTCACAAAGGAGAGACTGCTCAGAGCTCAAGGACAGAAGAGGAAGGGGGGCAGTGGGGGACATCGTACCGGGTGCCAGCCAGTCTTCACTTTTAAGCAGCTACTATTGCCTGACCCGGTCCCGGCTCCAGCCCAGACCTCGCCCTTCCCCAACGGGAAAAGTCCTGCTTCGCTTTACTGAAAGGAGCTTCAGAGAGTGAAGATTTAAAACAGATTCCAGCTCTTCCCCTACACTCTTTCCCCATAAACCCAGATCTTTTAAGGAACTAGATCCTAGTGGGAATAGGACATCTCAGACTCGCCTTTGCTCCCTTCCTCCAGGCCAACCCCACAGAGAGGATAGATCTAGGCTTTAGTTGGAGTGGGGGAGTGGGGAGGCTCTATAAGGGGGAAGCAGTAAAGCGAAGAACTGGCCCCGGTGCCGGGAGTACGCCAGTCCACCACATGCCGAGGTTTTCTTTCGTTTACAAAAGGGAGAGGGTCACGAAACAAAAGGCAGAGCTGTGTCCGCTTAGGTGCTTTTATTCCTTGGAGAATGGACAGATGTGCTCATTGTCTGCCTGTGAACAATGAAGGCCTTGCCAAGGCACCCTCCACTAGTGTGTGTGTGGGGGGCTGGGTGGAAATTAAATGGCGCTCAGATTCATAATACCTATATTCCAAGTCTGATAACACGTGAGTGCGAGGTAAATCCTCGTCTCCTTTAGTGTATTTCGTACTCCTTTCTGGACTGTTTATATTGGCCTAGGACAGATGATACCTTAGATTTGAAATGGAGGGTCCATCTGAAATCGGTGTCAGAAAAAGCACTAGATGCAGACCAGAATACATGGAGACTAGAGCCCACCAAAGATCAACCCCGCCCCCCACCCCCCATGCGTTGTAGATGTTTCCTACACGTGGGAGGAGAAGGGTTCTGGGAAGCGATGTGGGAGATGGGATGTAGGAAGGGGGCAGCCTGATAGCAGTAGACGGTTTTGGTTGCATAGATAGGATCTTTCCCCCCTTAGGGACCACCACCAGGATTGGGTAAACTTGAATGAAAACAGAAGGCAGCCTATGATCCAGATAGTGGGCCTCTCTTTGTTCTGAGCCCAAGTAGAAAAGTTTGTGATGTTGTTCCGTTAGGAACCAATCAATCTTTCACCGCTAGAACTGACTGGGCTTCCCCATTCTAGTTGATTTAATAGAATCAAAGACTTGTTAGGATTTCTGAGCTAGAATCTCAGAGGGTACCCAATCTTGTCGACATCATGTTATCCAGGCCCTTCTTGAAATAGAAGTATAATGACAAATGATAATTCAAAATACAAGTAATAAAATGACAATAAAATGATCCTGCTATATTACTGGAAAAAATAAGTACTGACACATTCAACACTTAACAGTTGCAAAGCACTTCCCCTCACAAAAAAAAAAATCATGGTTATTGTTGAAAGAAAATGACAAGGCATGAATATAGGTTCCTAGAATTGCTACCATGAAATCATTGCAGGAACCACTATGCTGCACACAAACTGGATTGTAGCTCAAAAAATATTTGTGGAATATTGCATTCTGAAAATTACTAGGTTCCTCATATGTGTTTTCCTTGTCTCATCATGAGAATAGGGATTTCTAAAGGCTAATGCTGCAGTCATATGTCTTGGAAACAGTCTTACTCCTTTTCCACCATCCCTCCAAAAGATTGATTTGCCCTCATGATAACATTTCCCAAGAGGTACCAAGAAAAAAAAAAGAAAAAGGCAAATACTATTAAGTGAATAAATTGTTCATAGTTTTCTTTATGTGTAGTTAAGTAAGATTTTATCCTGAAACACTCATGCAAGGCCCCCAACAAGGTTCAGTCAAAGCTACCTGGAAAGGTCTGAAAGATTGTGACTGAAACCCAATCCCAATGGTTTTATATATGGGACTTTGGCTAAGTGTATATTTATAAGAGCATTGTCCAAATAGAACTATTGGACATGTCCTATGTTTGACTTAACTCAATTTGGTTCCTCTACACCATGCTACATTTTTGAAGGGGTGCATTGTAAGCTTAAGACTAGTTTCATTTTTGAAGTCTTGTTGGTCATATTTTATTCAAATATTTCCTTTACTTACTGACATAACATAATTAGAGGCAAATGAGAGACTTTCCATTCAGCTCTTAAAAAATACCACCTGCTCTGAATTTTGAAGAAAAGCCATCACAAATATTTCTGCTGGGAAAGGAGGAGGGCCTCCCATTCTTCCTTAAAATGATCAGGAAAGAAATACTAGGACAGGAAAATAATTGACATATTGTCATAGCGAAGCACTATGTGCTTAACTTTATTTGCCTAATGAACGCTGCTTGTTGGTGTATCAGGTGGCAGCACATTGTGTTATAGGGTGCTGGATTGGCATTCAATAGTCCCGGGTGCAAATTCTGACATTACTACTTTTTACCTGTGTGACCTTGGGCAAATCAATTAATCTTTCTGAACTTCATTTTCCTCATTTCTAAGTGGAGGATGTTGGACTTTATAACTTCTAAGCTCCTTAATAGCTCTAAATGTGCTTCTTTGAGAATTCAGCACCCTTTGGCCCCTAAAATTACCTACTCCTTATAGTTTTTGGAATCCTGGGGAAGAGGAGAAGGGTCTCAGAAGTATTTATCATTCTAGAAACTACTACTCTTTCCCATCACCAGTTTCTCTAAGTTTCAAATTCTTTTGATGCAAAATTTCTGTAATGAAAACCAATTTTGTGAATTTGTGTGACTAAGGTATATTATTGTTGACTATCTTGAAGTTGGGTAAGACTTCCAGGGCTCTGAATTTATTGTTAACACAATGTTCAGGAAAAGGCAGCAAATTCAAAAGGAAGATTCTGTTGATCTGGGTCCTAGTTCCAGCTTGGTTTCTAATTAGTTATGTGGCCTGGAGCAAGTCACTTGGCTTCTGGGTCTCTGTCAATAAAATGAAGATAATAAATCCACATCAAAAGGTTGTTTTTAAGGATCAAATGTGTATGAGACAGAGTTCTATGCAAATATAAGGTATTATTAAGAAGAAAGCTCATTTTCATAACCAAAACAGATTAAAGGAAACAAATTTTCATAATAATGTCTTCCCCCTTATTTCCACATTAAAAAAAAACATGCTCACAAAATGAAAAGAAAAAGGAATTCTGGTGACTGAGATCTTGATACTAGCAACATTTTATGTTTTGAACCAATAAGAACAAGTTATGTATTTATATTTAGCAAATGTTAGAAGATAATTTTCCTGGGGAATGTATGCAAGCCACACTGTTCATACCAGGTCACAGAAGTGATGAAAATTGATTGTGAACTCAATGTTCCTGAAACCTGGATAGAAAAGAGAAAAATATGAAGGAGTTAATAGTTGGTGAAGGGGGTGACATTTCACCAAATAATAGACACCCAATGCCTCCCTCTGAAAATTACTAATTTTTTTTCCACCAAAGGAAAGACCAAAATTAGTGTTAGTTCTCTTTATAAGTAAGAGATATTCAACAAATTTTTGAATTCCAAATTTCAGAACATTTCAGAAGAAGTATTGAGTCACCTACTCCCAATGCATGTTTCTTTAATATTCATATAAATGTATGAAAAGCATAATTGTTAAGAAAGAAACCTCTAGGGCTTAAAGACAAGCTAGGCAGACTTTAAAAGCATTCATTCATTCCTTGATTTATTCATTCATTCAAACAAGTAAGTAAACAGAGAGAAAAATATGTATTATTAAGAACCCACTAGAGAACAGAGCCCTGTGCTAGGGACTTTGGTGGTGGTTGTGGTAAAGACCAAATTTAGATAAGATAGATTCCTGCCCTCATGGAGCTCACAGTCTAATACAGAAATGGTACATTAACACCATTATGTAGT